CTGTATTAGAGCCCTTTTTCGCCGTTTTCGCGCTTTCCAAGGTGAATTTTCGGATTCAGCATGGCGAACAGGCCCGTATAAGCACAAAATCTCAAAATCGAGTTTTTGCCCGGACACTGCCTTTAAGTTCTTCCCTCAAGTCGTTCTTCATGTTCATCGAACGTACGAGAACACGTAAGCAGACGTCTCCATAATAGCGTGCCTTCCGATTCCATTTTTGCACCTTCGTAAAGGGCGTTTCTCATGAACTGATTCTTTCCGATTTATTCGCAATCCGATCCTCTTCCCTATTTGGTTTAGTTCCTTCAGCATCATCTCTGCTTCACGGATACTGCTCGAGGAGAAAACGATTTCGTCCGCAAAACGAAGGTTGGGAAGGAATTTCCCCTTAACTCGTGTGCCTCTTTCGTCCCAGTCCAGTGATTTCATCACCCACAGCAAGGCCGCGGTGAACATCTTCGGCGAAATAGTTCGCCTTCTGTTGTGCTAAAAAACTTGGAATCTATTGTTTTACTTTTGCACGAAATTTGTAGAAGAAATTTTCCGATTCAAAAATGTCTGGAGCATTCCTGTTCTCAGATCACGATGAACCATGTGAAGCGCTTCCCTTATTCCACACTGTTTCAGTCAAGCATAGACTATAAATTTTCTGCGATGTGATCGATATAGAATCTGTGGCAATCTTTACAACTCCAAGGCAGTTCGTTAGCGCATGAAGGTGCGTGGTGCGCAAAGTTCTAGGCAGGAGGTTTGAACGGTGCCGCATTTAAAGGTGTCTGAAGGATGGGGTTTTGGGAATTCAGTGCTATGCGAAAGTGCCCCTCTCTCGGTCTTCGCGCTTTCTAATGTGAATTTTCGGCAATGTTGCGGATAACCCCGGTGAGCGGTTTAGCTAAAAACCGAATTTTTTCCCGGACAACACTGCCTTTACTGTTGTTCAGTTGAGGCGTTGGCGACAGCTCTGGTGCCTGTCTGCGGCATGCAGCTGCCTGGGTAACACTTGCACGCCTCAGCCGAACTGAGTGGGGAAACGAACTCCTCCAGTTTAGACCGCCTCCGTGGATTGCTGGTCTCGTAACGACATGCATTAATATGACTAAAGACCAGATGCCCAAGAAAGCGGTCCAAACTGGCGAAGTTCGTTCCCCCATCCCCCCCCCCCGACCGGGGTGGGGAATCCACCGACAGAAGGAGTGGGATGGGCGGAGCCTTCTTTCCATTCCCCGAAAAGAGATTACGAATTTTTTTTTGCATGTGGCCTGCATAAGTTATGAAACGGAGTAAAGGTTTTGTTTTTCTTGATGATTAGTTTTTGTAAATTTCTGGAAATTCAAATTAGCTGTCTGAAGTCTTTGGACGTGGCTATCATTACGCTCCTTTTTCAAAAAAAAGTTTCGGGCAAAATCATAGGCGGGTAAAATTATCGCTATAGGCCGTCTGCGCAGGGCGCAGAGAGTGCGCACGATGTGCACTGCGCATCACTCCTCTTTCCTCGTGCACTCTCGCCGCTTGTTTTCTCTGCGCTTCTTATGATATGTTCAATGGACGCAACGCGTTGCTCCCCGAGCTCGGCGCGGGCGGCCTACAAGCCTCGAGAACTCTTTTATTGCGGGAAAAAAAATTTTGTCTTTCCTCTCTCTCCTCAAAAAATTCCTCCGCCACTGCCATGTCCTTATTATCAGCCACACTCTGTTTGCTCCGTGACTTGAAAATACGATACTGTACTCTTTTTTCATTACCCTGGTTTACACATGCGCTTTTGGAATGCTTGAAATGTAAGACTCAAAGGCAGCAGTTGCCAAAACCGAACATCCCGCAATTTTGACATGGAAAGTTGCTTGCACCCCAAACATGTTAATAGAGCAGGTCCGAACGCACAGCATGCTGCCCTTGCCTAGCAAATCCCGTGACGCGCAAGCCATTCTGATACGCGCGGACGAGCTTGCGATGCTCCCTGATCCGTCAGAGAAGGTATGTCGCAATGTCATAACTGCGGGGGTCTCGCAACGATTCTGCCTCTTTAAGGTAGGTGCCAGAGTAAGAGAATATTTTGTTCAGCTTCGTTCAGCAGCAGAAGGCGCACAGAATTAACGTTAATTCTGCGCGGGACCTGCAGTTGAAGCAGGCCTTGGCAGCAGTAGAGATTATGCAGCAGACATTAATTCTGCGCGCCTTTTGCAGTTGGAAGCTGAACAAAATATTCGCTTACTCTGGCACCTACCTAACCATGGCGAAACGTGCTCCACTCGTCCAAACTCAAAATTGGAGGCTTTGGGAAATGGTGGTTTTTGCCATTTGAGCGCTTTTTATTGTGGATCTCCGGAATCAGCGTCTCGAATTACCCCAGGTGGGCGAAAAAACTTCAAGTCGAGAATCTGCCGAGCTGCTGCCTTTAAGGCACTCTCAAAAGCATAGATTTGTAAACTGGTCCTTTTGTTGACATTATAAATCTTTTTAGAATCCAAAGAGATCCTGCTACGGTGACCTTCGGCTTTTGTGTAAAGCAGTCAATGATCTGATAGAAAAGAATAGAGGCACCCTTGGAGGATTACGAGCGAAAAGGTTGATCATTGGGCAGGTACGTCATCCTAATGTTAGCGCTTTGAGCGCTGTATCAGTATCAGGAAATGCAGCTTATTGTTTTCCTCATATTCTTTCAGCATAGTTCATTTGATCGTTGTCCCAGACGTTTTGTAGTACCAGAACCTGGCAAACTTCCAGATTGCTTAGACTCTTGTGCACTTGGTTATGTGGAACAGGTGTTCTTCTATATGGTAAGTCGTTTTTCGCTAGCAGATATCAATGAGAAGATTGATGTCAAGTTTACTCTAGAAAATTTGATTAATTGCGGTTGTCCAATGATGACTTTTTAGGTCAAAATTGAAACCATTGCACTTGGGCACATAGTTAGTAAGCTGCAAAAGAATCGCATAAATATTACCGCAATGATTTTCTATGGCGTGGAGTTCGCTTGTGAAGCTAGTTCACTAGTTGACCTCTTTGGTGTTTCGGTTACTAAATGTGTGGTTATGATCGAATGTCAACTCTCTACTGAATTGAAGAATTCCTTGAAGGATTCTCTCGTGCAGCAGCGTCGGGTTGTTTATTTTTTTTGAGTGATTGCATCTTGAATAATCTGTTGCAGCTGAAAACGTTTTTTATCGGTTCTTCCGCAAGTTTCGAAGTGTACATGAAAAGCATCATACCATCAAAGGATTGGATAAAACGTTTATTACAGGTATGCGTAACTGTAGTCGACTCGGAAAGCAGCGATATGGGCGCTATTCGCTGTCCGGGCCCCAAAATTTTTTAGTCATGGATTTCGCTCAAACTCGGCCCAGGAGGTTCATCCGACATGCTGATCACGAATATCACATTTTGTCCGCAGGAAAACGCCTCCCTGCAGGGTTACGGTAGGTGTACGGTAGGGGGTGAAAACCATGGATTTCGCTCAAAGTCGGTGTAGGGGGTTATTCGTCGCGCGGATGCTGAATATCACATCGATTTTGTACCGTAGCGTCATTTTTTCGGGTTACGGTGGGTATACGGTAGGAGGTCAAAATCTCAAAATCCGCTGTAACTTCGCACAGAGGGGTTATTCGACATGCGGATTAGAAATGCACACTTTCTCTGCACGAAAACGTCTCCCTGCATGGTTACAGTAGGTTTAGTAGGGGTCAAAATCACAAATCGGCAAATGTATCTTTCCCCTGTGCTTTGCTTAGGCAAAAGCCGCAGCAGGTGTGTTGCGCGCGGTGGTGGTCGTGTGTGCAAAGCTTTACGATTGTCCGAATCGCCGTACACCCGTTTCAGGCAAAACTATTTTCTACACTTGTTACCGTTTAGCTACCGTTACTTGAGAAAATGACGCTACGGTTCAAAATTAATGTGATATTTGGCATCAGCGGGCCGAATAACCCCTGTAGGCCAAGTTTCAGCGAAATCCGTGATTTCGGCCCCCTACCGTACACCCACCTAACCGCACAGGAAGCGTCCTCACTCGAAAAAAAAAGTGACATTCGTGATCAGCATGCCAGATAACCCCCTAAACCAAGTTTGAGCGAAATCCATGACAAAAAATTTTGGGGTACGGATAGCGGAATAGCTCCGCGATTATGTTGTGTACTTGACTGTATAGCTAGAAAGTGTCAAATACCGATTATTAGTGTATTTAAGGTTTTCAACACATTTGTTGGGTCCATAACATACAATTCTTTGCGAATCCCGTTACAGGGTGTCCAAATAAATAACCAAATGTTTCATCTCAAATGACTTGTCTCTATGAAAGGCTTTTCGCGCCAACATCGTAGTGAAAAGCTGACTTTCTTTGAATAGAGATTTACAGTATGGAGCGAATCGCTGCTCTCTTCATCGGTGTAGATTACGAACTAATTTTGCCGAAGGTTTTGAGCTATATGACACTGTTTTGCCTCAAAAAACAAAGCTGGCAACGTGGAAAATTTTACCTTAGCCTAGTTAGCGTTTCGGACCGGTAGTAAGCGTCGCCCTGCGGAAGCGGCTGGCTACTAACAAGACTACAGTGATGTGGAAGAAGGTTTATTATCTGTCGAATAGGAGACTATAGGAAACGTAAGAGGAGTGGATCGTGGACTTGAGAGGATGAGTGCGTGGTTGATACCGGGGCAACCGCCCCAGGAAAGAGATTGTCGTTGGAGCTCCCCGCCTGATCTATGTGACTTGGTTATATACGTTAGCGTTATCATAGCACATCATCTCCGAGAACATGGGATTCACTGTTCTCATAACACAAACGATAACATAGGATAATATCCCAAGCAAAGAGCGCGCGATAACATTCCAGTATGAGCGCCGCTCTTACACCTCCCCCATTTCCTTTAAGTCCGTCCCGGACTCAAAAGAAGAAGAGAGGGAGTAACGGAAAGTGAATCTATTTAGCACATGCATCACATTTGTGCAGTTAATCAAGCATAATCTCCTTAGTTACTTGAAAAGCACATGTTGTAGCGAGTGGATGTGTACTAGTCGGTGATGATTATAATACATGTTGCTGGAGTGATATGCTCTGTTGAATGCTCATGAAGTGAGCTACGCCAGAGCGGTGAATGAACTGCACCTGGAAATAATGTAGGATTAGAAGTGTTCTCGATTTAGGCAAGAAACAATGCACCGGACAGTTTGTTTGAAGCATATGTGCGGGAAGAATCGGCCGCATCGCGGCTGAGAGTAATTGAAAGTTGACTGGAAAATCAATGTGAACTGTGTGGGTGAAATCGGCCGCATCGCGACCAAAAGCGGTGACTAACTGACCAGAGGGAACTGGTGCGTCGTTGTGGGTGAAATCGACCGCATCGCGAAAGTAAAAACTCAAAAAACAGTGGTAAAAGAAATACCTAAAAATTCGAACCGTTTTCTGCTAGACGATTCATAATGAAGAGCGACGGGATCTGAAGCAGTGTTGTAGCCGTGTGAAACGGCAGCGGGTATTGACATTTCTGATTCAGTGAAAACAGTATATTCACGACCCAATGTGACATCGGATGCTCCTACTGCGGTCAGCTCTGCTTGTTCCTGCGCTGGCACCCACGGGGAGGTGAATACGGGCTCGACAACGCGAAAGCATTTTTTAATCTGATTCATATGCACCTTTTTGGAGGAAGATTGCGGTGCGGAAACGCTAATGATAGTAAAGTGAGGTGGATCTACCGCAATCACGCGAAACTGCCTCAGCCAAGGATTGCATAATTTTTGCGATAATCCAATTTTAGGTGCAAAATCGCGTAGGAATACCCTATCGCCTACCTGTATTTTGATGGGATTGAGGTGGGAGCTGTCATCGTGCCACGAAAGTGCGAACTCCTTGGAATCGCTGATCCAAATGTCACCAAGAAGGTGACCTGCCATTTTAGCCACCAGTACAAAGCCACAGGATTCCTCCTTGTCGGGCGACCATATTAACACAGATCCATCCGGAGGTTGGTAAGGCGTTTGAGCGGTAAAAACAACACTATAACTGAACACAGAAGTAAAAGACAAGCGTCAGGCAACGAGTTTCTTATTGAGGACTTAGCTGCAGGAAAGGAAGCTCTTTCAAAAGTGGAGCTAGCGAGTTCCTCGTTTCGTTTCATTAGAGCGGAGACACGCGCAGTGGAGTTACCGAGAGCTGCTTGAGTAGATTCAAGAGAAAGAGATAGGTTTTTGATTTGTTCACGAGCGTTCAAAAGTTCTTGAGAAGAGTCAGTAAAAAGAACGTTCATGATCCGAGACGGAATAGACGAAAATCAAAACGGTATGGCATACGATAACGGAAAGGTGGTACTTGCGCACCTCGGTATTGCCGCCCTGCTATGCCATTTCGGAATACATTCCAATCCGTCCGCAGGTGTAGCATCGGAGTTGTGAAGGCATACTGCGTTGATTGCGGAAAAGTGGAGAAGGTGTGCCGTTACGTCGGTCCCTATTACTGGAATTGGGCTAACTGAGCTACTAGTTCCCGGAACTGGGTGCGAGAGGAATGATACTCCCATTCCGAACCGTCGTTGACTTGACTTCAACTTGGGCCCGGGAGGGAAGAGGGCTAGCAATTTGCGATTCCGCAAGTTGCTCCACCATTTGGGCGATATTTAAGGCGCGTTGGAGGGTAGATGGACTAGCTAACTCTACCTGAAGCCTAATGTGAGGGTAAACACGCGCTACGAACTCCTTCTAAGGCGCGCCCCTGCTGCATTGCCGTATCCTGGCCGGGTGTGGCAGCGCACACTAACCTGAAAATTCGATCTGCAAACGCCGAAGTTGATTCTCCAGGTTCTTTCTTGCATTTCGCTAAAGCTCGCCGTGCCATATTTTGAAGGTGTGGTCCCTCGTAGCAACTCTTGACATGGGCCACTACTGCGTCATAGTCCTCCCGTTGAGCGGGTGTCAGCTCCTCGATTTTTCTCGAGCTGCACCATCAGGAAGGGCTATCAGATGAGAGGCCTTAAGCTTTGGGGATAGCGGGGTATGGCGCGTGTGGATATTTTCAAAACGGCGCAACCATACTGAGAAAGGAGTAAGGTCTCCTCTATTCGCCCCCGTGAGCAGGGAATTTTCAATGCGGGCCACTCTGGAGTACAGGATGACGTAAGGGATACCCTCGAATGTTTGGCCAACCGCGGTAAAAGAATCGTTGAAGCCCTGGAGCAGTGAGGTGTTCACATTGTTCACCAGCTTGGCTAAGGCTGTCGATGCTGAACGGGAATCCTTCCATGCATTCGATATCGCCTGTGCTGTAGCATCGCGCAGTTCTTTAGCTTGCAATCCCTTAACTACTCACTCGTCCGAGAGATTAACTAAGGAGGATGCAACCCTTAGTTGCGTACTCGCATAATTGTGTGGTTGAATTCGGGGCAGCCGCCCCAGAGTCTGAGGAATGAGTGCGGGCTCGTGTTACCGGACCCGTAAGAGAGCGAGAAGATAAGTATTTGAAACACCAGAGGTGAAATGAATATGCCTTGATGGAAGTATAAGATGTGGACGGTGTGAAAGAAAACATAAGTGATCAAGAAATGTAAGCAAACAAACTTATCCCATAAAGTTATTCACGTATACGGAAGAGGAATGTGAAAGGAGATGTAAAGATAACAAACCGCAAACGTTCCCATGTACTTAGCTGCGCGCCTTATCTCCGAAGATCTACCAAAACATACGCGTTATCGCGAAAGCGATCTATCGTAGCATACGGTTTCTCGCGCACTTGGAACAAAGCATTACAGTGCTCGGAGCAAAACGTCTGCTAGCGAGGTACAGTTACCCATGAACGCAAAGTCAAAACATTTACAGATTTTTTGAAAGTGTGTTATGAGAGAAAGGATTACTGTCGCTTACTGAAAAGCGGAAGAAAGATCAGCCAAGAGTTTGAAAAGAGTGGTGGAGCATGAGAAACTGTCGCTCTTCAATGAAAGAAGGTCGAGGGCTACCCGATTTGGCGCCATGAAGCAAGACGAAGAAGCTGTTTGTTAACTGAAGAAAGGTATGGTACAAAGTAAAGAAACCACTGAGAAGACAAGAGACGAGAATAATTGGTGATTATGTATGGTTTAATTCAGGGCAACTAACCCAAGATTGCTCAAAGGAAGTAAAAGATATCAGATGCGCGAAACTATTGGTTGTCAGGAAAGAGGAAAGTCGCGCGGATGGCGCAGAGCACAAAGGAAGCGGGTCGGGCAGAGGAATAGCGAGCCAAGTAAGGCAAAACTTTGAAAAGAAAGTAGCCTCGAGTGTATAGTTAGAGCTATCACAACGAAGCAATGTAAAAAACAGGATGGAATACTCACCTTATCTCCTTTAACTGGCGAACGGGATGATAGGATAAAATAAGACGATAATCTGAATACGCAATAGATGAGGACACAAAATTTGAGCGGCTCCGTGTCCTTACCATTCCATTGTACAACCCTGAAAAAGCGAGCAAGTAATAATAAAAAAATTGATTTCGGGGCAACTAACCCAAACTTACGGTTTTGTAAGGGGCAACTAACCCAGACTTACGGTTTTGTTCGGGGCAACTAACCCCACGGTACCGTCCTCCAGAGTAAATTTCACGCGCGCGCCCTGACCAGAATCAGCCTCAATCGGGCATTCACTTCAAAAACATGACTCCACGAGCTCGGATCTCACATTAGCATTTTCTAAAATTCTTTATCATTTACTTACCTTTCCATAGCGCTGGATCACTACTCAGCGCTGGACTACTGCCCGCCGGCCAAATTCATATCCATATTCATCTCCATATTCATATTCATCATCCCGGGGCACAAAAGGCAACGATACAAAAAAGGCGCCAAAACGAATAAAAAAGAAAAAGCAAAGAATGACAAAACGAGCAAACACAAAAACGGAATAATAAGGACAAAAAATGGAAGAAAGATTTAAGACATAATTCCAAAGAAAATTCGTTTCTGAAAGAAAAACTCACTCACCTGAAGCGAATGTCCTCACCCATCCTGAAAGTTCATACTCGCTGCTACCAGTAAGCGTCGCCCAGCGGAAGCGGCTGGCTACTAACAAGACTACAGTGATGTGGAAGAAGGTTTATTATCTGTCGAATAGGAAACTATAGGAAACGTAAGAGGAGTGGATCGTGACTTGAGAGGATGAGTGTGTGGTTGATATCGGGGCAACCGCCCCAGGAGAGAGAGTGTCGTTGGAGCTCCCCGCCTGCTCTATGTGACTTGGTTATATACGTTAGCGTTATCATAGCACATCATCTCCGAGAACATGGGATTCACTGTTCTCATAACACAAACGATAACATAGGATAATATCCCAAGCAAAGAGCGCGCGATAAAATTCCAGTATGAGCGCCGCTCTTACAGGCGCCGTAAAACCTAATTGCCCGCGCCGTGCCTTCAACACCAGCGTAAGCGAGCGGTCGTCGCGAACGAAAGTCGGCGTTCACTATATTCCAGAAAATTTTTTTTTAGCCTTCATGTTGTTGTCGTCAATGCAAGGTATATCTCGACGAAAGCTCCCTTCAGAAGTTTAAAAAAATATGTGTGGAAAGGGCGCGCGCTCATTGTCGCTCGAAAAACGCCAGTAGCGCTTCGGGACCAAACGTTTTCAGCCGCGCCGCGCGTTGGTGTTCAAAGCGACGCGTGGGCAATTGGGTTTTACGGGGCCTGTACACGGTGCTGCACATGGTGCAGCACGCTGTTATGAAGGATCTTCTTGACGTTTACCGGAGGTTTTCTTTTATCCAAGGTTATCAAGTCAAAGGCCTAAGCTTCTACTTTTCAAGTGACTCCGTAAAGTTGTGCCGCCGGTATTTGTTTAGGAGACATGAGCACAAATCGAACAACAGTTGCAACGAAGTGCGGCAACGCGAACGACGCGTGCGACGTCGCAACTTTCCTTTGCTTCTATATCAAAGCGAAAAACCTAGTTTCAATACTGATGTACCGTCTACAACATAGATACTTTTGGATACTATTCGAAACTGAGTTATAGTTCCTATCTTTCAAAAAAGCACAGAAGTCCACAAGCGACAAAATTTAAACACTTCGAATCCACTCAGAACTTTGGGTATGGAACTTACCTGACAAGCTGATTACAGATGTAGCACAGAGTCTACGCATTAAGGTCCCTTTGTTGGCTAATGACTGAAAGTACACTCTTTTTCGCCGCGTGCGATTTCGCGGTCCGAAACGTGTTAAAATCGCTGTCTCTATATGAAAAGTTTGCTGTTTCCTGTAATTTAGGCCGCGGAAACCGTGACAGCGTCTTCTTACTGTTGCTCAAATGTGCAATTACGCCATTTAAAAACATCTGTAATAGGCCGTCCGCGCAGGGCGCGGAGAATGCGCAAGGTGCGTAGTGTGCGTCACTCCTCTTTGCTCGTGCACTCTCGCCGCGTGTTTGCTCTGCGCCTCCTCTAGTCATGAGCTGCCTTCAATGGACGCAACAGCGTTGCTCTCCGACCGCAGCGCGGACGGCCTATACCTACAGAAGCTGTGTACTGAATTCAGGGTGACCGAAAACCTACGGGAAAATGAAGAGAGATCGATGATTCGCTTCATATTAGTCACTAGCTGGTGGCCCCGGTCTTACCCGAGACTTCAAGTTAGTTAAGCCAAAAGAGCTTGTAAACTTACGCTTCTAGATTTCTTCTAACATGCGCATAAAGCGCTTTCAGACTAATTGCCGCACCCTACCAACTTTAAGACTGAAATGGACTTTACTGCCCCTGCTTACATGCTTATATGTAAAAATGATCGGTTGCCATGATGGCCCTTCATTTTCTTAGGTTTGAGTAAACAAATCAGTAAATCGATAGAATGGCCCGGCGAATCGCCGCGGAAAGTAGCTCTAAACCACCACCGGGGTCAAAAATATACGTGTGCGAAGTTTCAGCCGGATCGGTTCAGTGGCGCGCGTTTCTATAACGAACGAACAATTAAACGAACATCCTCACAGACATTGAGTTTTATATATATATATAGATTGTAGAATTCCAAGGCGTGAAGGCTTTTCACGCGAATGAGTTATTGAAGATCAAACGTTCGTATATTTTTTGGGCAGCGTGTATATATGGCCTCTAGTTAGCCTGTTGGTTCAACATAACGTTTTTGTTTTCAGTCGACACTCTCAATTGTGTCGGATACACTTGGTAGCACTCAACTAATATGCTTCCGCGGTCTTCGGCTCGAGACCAACAATGCTCCTGGCTTACTTTATATGGTCCAGACTAATCCTGTGCAATCCTGTATATGGTCCAGACTAATCCTGTACAAACCTGTCATGCTTACACGTCACGAGTCAACGGACTGTGTGCCAAAGTGGTTGTTCCTTATAATATATCCCGCTGATGGATTCCTAATTGAAGATGTTGCTATGTCATGCCGAACACCTGTTGGAGATCCGTTTCCACACTTTTATTGACTGTTTCCACATTGTATACGTATAACATCTACCAGAAGTCTTTATCCTTTTTCTAAGTATTGATGTCACAGCGTATTTGATGTTGTAAATCTTGCATTGGAAAGGCCTAAGGGCTCGGGCAGAGTTCACGCGATTTGATCGTCGCGATTGATCGCGACAAGACAACTGTAACAATATCATTGCATGCCGATCTTCTTGCAACTCGGTTGTGATAGTTTTCCAACACGCTAATCGTGACTAACTATCACAACCGAAATACAAGAAGATCGGCATGCAATGAACTCGTAACATTTGCCTTGTAGCGGTTAAATCGCGACGATCAAATCGCGAGAACTCTGCCCGGGGCCTAAGGAAGGGACTCATGCATGAGGCAATCCGAATACGGTCGCAAGTACTTGGAAGTGAGAATGTGCATGAACATTTTTCTAAATAAGGCTGCTGTACTTAGAATGGACAATCTGCCCTAGATATGCTTCACCAAGAATAATTCACCCTTCTAATCAACTCAAAAGAGCTCCTTCATTTTATATGTGAAATCACTAACGAATTAGAGTCACTTGGGTCTATGCAAAGGGGAACATAATTTTTTATTCTTGCAAGAATGACAAATCTATTGCCGTAGATGTATCGAATGTTTCTCATCACTGCCGCTCTTTGTTGCAGTCCTTGAATTCATGTGAGAAGCCTTAAAGGCACCGTCACCCAAAATGGGGTCGATGAGATTTTGATGCCTAACAGTAGTGGGGCCCTCAACGGCATACTTACCCAACTCGCGCTGGCAAAAGTTGCTTCCGAAGCGAGAAAATTGCTTCGGAAATCGCTTCAGGTGACGGTTCGCGACGTTGGCTCCTCCGCTTTCGGGGAGGAGCCAACGTCGCGACGTTCGTCCCGCCCATCCGTGCGCGCCCAACCAATCACCGTATCGAAGAAACCGCTCTCCGGGTTCTGAAAACGGGGATTTTCGTGGTTTTCGCGGATTTTCGACTTGATGTTCGAAATCGGGGGAATGGGAAGGCCCTGGAACGGCAAAAACATGGAGGTCGAAATTTTGGGTGGACGGTGCCTTCAAGGGCTCCATATCAGGAGTCACGCCGCGCGCCGCGCCGCTTCGCCGCGCACGTTGCGTCTGATATTTGTACCCCATAAAACTGTCCGGAGCTAACGTGGCACGGCGTCAGTCTAGGGGGGTGAGGGGTGGGGGCAGATACATGGCTCGTGCCATAAGTAAGACTGCGCCAGGAGTGCTAGCTTCTGTTTTGCTGACATCTTGCGGCATCGCTTCGCGAAAAATTCGCGCCGACCGTGACTCCTGACCGTTCCCCCCTTCAAGGCCTTAAGCCATAAAGTCGCCTGCGCGAAATCGCTAGGGTTGCTGTAGGCTGAACGCACGCGAGCGTGCCTGCAACGCGGCTACCGAGTACGGCGCTGTAATGACTCATGCGCGCGAATGCCAATGTTAGCCGCAAGAGATACGATTGCGGGCGCTCAGTCCGGGCGATTCCGTGCATCAACTATGCCTCGCACGAAAAGTCGCTGTCGTTGGCGTGAAATCGCGTGAGGTATGAACGATGCCCAATGCCAACACCAATGACGATTTTCCATAGGCTTATGCTTGGAAACCAGGCATCCATAAGGTTAGAACATAATTCTTGCGCTGACACGCACTGAGATCTTTGATTTTAGCAGTTTTCTCCACTTCAACCTAATTCGCTTGATTCGTCAGCAAAAGAAAGAAGAAATATTGCAATTCTTAGCAGTCGTCAAAGTGAATGAGATTCTAATATATAAAGAGTCGCAAGCGCAATTCAAAAATGTGCACATAGCGGGAAACCACGTGGCGGTCCCGTAGCGCGCGCATGCTACTAGCACCTTCAATTGCTGGTTCACTAGTCACTGGTATATCGCGACAAGCTGTCAAAATGCTCAAACTGTGAAAATTTGCGGTCGCAATGTAATTTTTCATCTTTTTTATGTGTCCTACATTTTCTGGCTTAAAGATTCCTTTCGATTGAGGGACGGTACAGGGCTCCTAAACTGCAGAGTCGTTTGCACCAGCGGTCGCGCGACCGCGTCGCGCCCGGGCATTTTGCCGGCGCCGGCGCCATCGATCGAGGCGGCACCACCACCACCACCAAACAATAGCCATGTTTCCCATGGATTTATTGTGGAGCATAGGTGCGATAGGGGGAGCCGGGCTCTCCCCAGGTGAAGGGGGTCTCGGCTGTTCCCGACCTTCCAGGGTGAAGGGGGTACGTGAGTCTAGGGGGGGGGGGAGGGAGGAAGAGAGAAAAGGTAAAAAAGCGTGGTATGAAGAGCTCTAATTTGTACCTTATTTAGGCAGAAATTGAAAAAAATTTGAAAATTTTCAAAAGAAATTAAAAAATTAAAAAAATTGATTATGAAGATCTGTGCTCCTGTTTCACTGCATCAACAAAAAACGAAAGCAATAATGTTTATCCCAAAAGATGTACAAGTTAGGAACAACTTCATTTCCTGCACATCATCATCAACAATATCACTATCGCTAACGTCAGAGACAACAAGTTCGCTGCCTGAAAAATCTTC